GTATAACTGTAAACTATGGTTCTTGTTATTGTTGTTGTTGGTTTCTATTGATTAATTAGTTTGTTTGTTGCTTGCATAGCATATATATTTTTTAATGTTTTATGTTTTGTTGTGTTTTATATATATGTTGTAAGCCGCCCAGAGTGGCTGGGGAAACCCATTCAGAGGGGCAGAGTATAATTATATATATATTGTAATGGATTTAGGGGTTGCTCGTGCGTAAGTTGCTGCCACTGCTGGCGAGGTTACCTGGTTAAACCCTTTCTGACTGAACAGCCTCCAGCATCGTGGCTGTCTCAGTCGCTGGCAGAATCCGTCAGTGGGCCTTTCTTGAACCTTTTCCAGCATAAAAGTTGTTTGACACCAAGTCTCCTCCTACTCTCCCTGCGCGGAAGTCTTCTGCGCAAGGAGGGTGTGGGCAGCGGAGTACCCGTACTCTCTCCGCTGGTCTCCGGCGAGGAGTCTTGGAGCCTCCTCTCCGATCCCCCCATCTGCCCCCCTTCTCCACTGGTGTTACGCTGATTTCCTTCCCCAGCAGATGGGCTGCCTCTCTCCCTACTGGGGCCCTCTCCTGCATCCCTCTGGAGCCTTCCCTCCGCCTCTAGCTCCGATGGCAGTTCCCTGACATATATATGTTAGAATAACAATTGAGATGTGATTGAACAAGCATGTGCAGTGTGAAAGGGATGTTGGAAAATGGAAAAGGACAGAAGCACTGGCCTTATAATCAATTAAATGAATACAATAAACCCCATGTGTGAATGCAGCCGCAGTGTGCCCCCACACTTAGACATTTGTCACACTGTCCTTACCCAAAAGCTTGTGTCCATCACCTTTCTATTTAAAACTCTTGCCCAAGCAAGGCTCTCTATATGCCACGTATTGCTTCAGCTAATGTTGTAAGGTTCTATCTGCTTTTTGCTACTATCTGCTGTTAGTCTCATGATTCAATGTTCTCCTAATCTTGAACATTCACAATTTTCCCTTAATAAATCATAAAATTATCTATCAACTATATACCTATATGACTATGAATATACACTCTTTTAACCTTACTGCAAATCTTATTTGGCGTTCACTCATAGCCTAGTAAGATTGTCTTCCATGAACACAGTCTTAACAGTGAGTTCGTAAGTGACTATGGAGGCCAATTCTGAATCTACACATCCATCCACAGTGGGGACATGGGTTTCCGGGCAGGAGTTGATCATGGTGAGGGTTTGCCAAAGGTACTTTCTTAGCGCATTTCTCCCTTGCCTGCTGAGTTCGAGCATCTTCCTTGCCTGCTGAGTTCGAACATCTTCAAAGCCCATGACAACTTTGGTAAAGGCTGTCGTCCAATTGGAGCACTCGCAGGCCAGTGTTTTCCAATTGTCAGTGTTTATACTACAAAAAATACAACATTGTCGCCACTGATTCATCAGTGGTTATAAATTTCCCTTTCTGTTTACTCTTTTTCTCCCCCCCCCCCCCGAACTGGAGATGCAGTGTGATTCATACTCCTTAAAACCTAACTTTAAAGCTTTCAAAGAATTTAGCATGCTTTGTGGACCAGAAAGGTATGTGAGAAATCAATTTGCTACTGAAGCTAAAGAGCAGGTGCTGAGAAGGAGGCAATAGGAGAGATGGACTTTGGGATATGGGTCACTAGAAAATGTTTGATCTTAAGGTGATGAGATGGGATGCTGATGAAAAACACACTTGAAAAGGAACGGATTGAAAAAATACTGTAGCGAGAGAGGCTGCAATTGAGCAGATAGGAAAGCATCACATGGTTTTCAAATAGCACTGCTGCTCTAAGTGCTAAAATATTTTGCCCCAAATAGATATGATTGACCTTTATAAATGCTGGATCACTTTGATGATATACCTCAAAGTGAGATGTTTATCCAGAGCTTATCTTCACAGTCCAGAATCCAGTCAGTGTCTTCACAAGCACAGCCCATTCTGGCATAAGCCCTGATTAAAAAGAAAGAAAAAAAGAAAAAGAAAAATGACATTTCCATGAAGCTTGTTCAGCTAAAGTTTCCTTTGGATTGCATCCATGCTTTTTGTTGGGTTATGAGCAATATGTTGTCCTCACATGGGTTCTCTGTGTCTCGCACGCTAAAGTCTACAGGAACGTACAAGGATGCCAGCAGAGTTGGGTGAGTTTCAGTTGGTAAAGCTCGAGGATGTGGATAAAGTGCTTGGATTGGTCAGGGCTATCTCTTGCACTCTGGACTCTTGCCTCTTGTGCCTGATATAATCTAGCAAGAAGGAGCCAGCTGGCTGCACCAGGGAGGTGAGTAGTGCCTCCTTGTGAGATGGGGTGGTCCCTGCCTGCTTGAAGGAGGCAATGGAAAAACCACTCAAGAAAACCTCATTGGATTCGGAAAAATCTAAGTATTTACTGGCCAGTTACCAATTTCCCCTTCTGCGGGCAAAGTTCTTGAGTGAGTGTTATCGCAGACCAGATCTAGGTTTTCTTGGAGGGAAATGATTTTCTAGTTCCATTTCAATTAGGGTTTAGACCCAGCTTTGGCACAGTGGGTCCAATGGTCAAGAAGTTGCTTTCTGCACATGCTGTAGAGGGAAGTGAGGACCAGATGGGACTTATCAACCTTGGAAGGTAGCCCATCTAGGAGTAGGAAGACTCTGACACTAAACCTCCACTGCCTTGTAGGATATCTCTGGGAGAAGAAAAGGCTCAGGAGAAATCCTACACAAATCCAGAGTAGAGCTCCTAAGATAGTTGGATGGTGACTTGTATGCCTCCTTCCTGCAACTCCTGCAGCCAAGCTGGTGCCAAATGTATTGCTCTGCTTTCATTTGGACCACATCAGTGAGGCCAAGTGTGGGGGTCTTTTCATCTGGACAGCCCAGTACCTCCATGAACACTGTGCATTCTTGTACCCCAGGGAGGTCATTTCATTGCTGCTAATGCAGCAGTTTGATTTCACCCCCACACTCATCATGATAATCAATCATGATAATCAGACCTGCATCTGAAAGGGTGTTTGATCCAACAGTGTTTCCTACTAACAGAAGGAGATGGGTGTTGAGGAGGCTTCAAGGGAAGGGGTATAAATGAAAACCACTTCTTGCCTCCTGTTAGCAGGCATTAGAGGCATGCAGGATCTTAGGATTTAGCCTATAGGTGGGTGGCGCTGTGGGCTAGACCACAGAGCTTAGGATTTGCCGATCAGAAGGTCGGTGGTTCGAATCCCCGCAACGGGGTGAGCTCCCGTTGCTCGGTCCCTGCTCCTGCCAACCTAGCAGTTTGAAAGCGTGTCAAAGTGCAAGTAGATAAATAGGTACCGCTCCGGCGGGAAGGTAAACGGTGTTTCCGTGCGCTGCTCTGGTTTGCCAGATGTGGCTTAGTCATGCCCTCGGCCAATAAAGCGAGATGAGCGCTGCAACCCCAGAGTCGGTCACGGCTGGACCAAATGGTCAGGGGTCCCTATACCTAGGATTGCATATACATACCCATTACAGCATAATTACTGAAATGTCCTTGCTTTGGCTTCGACCTGTTAGTGCTTTCAAATTCATTTCAGGATCTTTAAAAAAAGAAAAAGAAAAAGAAAATGGTGTTTTATTCAAAAGTCAATGAGTGAGGAATTTTGAAAACAGACCCAGAGGTTGGAAGAAATTAGGCATTGTTTACAGCAATACTAAATATCATTTATAATGGTATTCTTTTAAATGGACCAAGATAGCAATGTTTACCTCATAAAGCGAATGTTTAGTTATCTCAAAATTTAGCAAATGTTAGTTATCTTCTGATAACCAATTCATCCAAAAAATGCATGGATTTCCCTTACCTGGCATGCAGGCTTAATGAAAACTGCATTTCCTAATCTTAACTGAACTGCTTATAACCTTGACTTTCAAAAACATAACCAATAAAAAGAAAAAGAAGAAAAGAAATACCCTCCATGTAACTTTACTGGAAGAATTCCCCCAGATAGAAATCATTACCTTTGTTTTCTGCTTTCATCATACTTTAAAATACTTACATTCCTTCAGGAAACAAATGGCTTTAGGTACTTATACAAATGGAAAGGAAACACATACATCCCAAGTTACTTTGATTTTCAGTAGTTTGACCTCTAGAATCTAATGTGTCAAAGCCCTTAAGGTTTCTCTGAAAAAGTGTACCGAGTACATGTTCTGAAGCATCAAAGATCCGGGATATGATTACTGTTGTTCTCAACTCACTCTGATTTTCTTTTCTTTTCTGAAGCAGTAAAGAAGAGGGTGTCACATTTTAAGAAACCATGTCAACACAGGTTTCAAGAGTATGTGTTCAAAGTCTGGTCAGTAAAGACAGGTTGATCTTAATCAGAGAAAAACAGCATTATAAATGAGTCTTGCTGCCATTTCAAGGATTTTTAAACAGAGTGCTTTGAATTTCACCCCATCCTTTATACTCCAGCCCAGTGACAGTGGCATTTAACACACAGGACTTCAGCTAAAGAATCCTAGGAAGTATAGGTTCTCCCTCACAGAGCTACAATTCCCGGCCCCCTCAATAAACTACAGTTCTCAGAATTATTTAGCAGAAGAATGCTTTAAGTGTCCATCGATTGTGCTTTACATGTATGATATACCAGTAGATTTGCTCTCAGTGTCACGAGCAAGGGGCAATGGTTGTTCCCAGCTAAGGTTCCCAGCACCGATAGAAGTACCGGTAGATGGTATTCTATCTTGTGTTTTAGAGATGTGAAGTCCTCTTTTACATTTTACTGTGGCAAACATAAGTAAAATTTTGGAGTAGCAGTTTTCCAAATCCCAGCGATAGCAAAGCCATCTAGGGAACTTTGTGGTAAAGCAGAGATCTGGTTTCCCCACATCCAAATCTAGCACTCTGGCCTAAGGATGGTGAGATTTGCCTTTCATCCCTTTGTGTCACCTAAATGTCTCATCTCCAGGCTAACACCTCTCAAGGAAATTATTTCAGTTAATTAGCTTTTACACTTGGCTTAATTAAGGATTAGCAAAGTCTAGCATGGCCTTAAATACACACCTCCAAGGAAAGTAACTTTGACAACCTCAAAGCATTAAATTCTACTGCTAATTTGATATGCAATTTAGGATGCTTTGCGCCCCCAAATTTGTAACAGAATGAAACTCAGGGATGGTTGGTCTGTTAGGACAAATGGGACATCGTCTAATTCTATATTTATGTCCTTCCTCTTGTCTGTCCTTAATCTCCTATCATTCAGCTTCTCTAGATGATCCCAGCTTCTAGTGTAATGGGAGGAACAACTATCCTCTTACATAAGTGTCTAAACCTGGCCCTTGCATGTGATATACTTGCTTATTGCTGAAAGCTTGTTACTGTCATCTTATTGTATTTTCTGTTTGAATGTTCCCTTACAGGTATGTCATGGCCTAATGTTCCTCTTCAGTTCTCATTCCCTGTGTCCACTAGGAATCCCTTTGTTGTTCTGAGGAGATGCTTACATATAGCACAGCATGTTGAGCCACATGAAGGATTTACTGCTGATTGCTCATTCGTTTCCTGATGGGGTTCCTGCATCATTACAAACTGCTCAGGCCTTTCACTCTCCGTTTATGATACTATCAAAAACTCTTGACTGATTTAAAGCCTTCTAATCCATCTCTCCCCAATTACCCCATTACACAATAGGTACTGATAGTAAAAAGGGACCTTTCTTCTACCATAAGCAGTGTCAGCCTAATTTCTGCAAGTGTTATTTAACTGTGATTGTACTTTTCACTTTTTAATGCAGAACAAATTGCTTGTGATCTATGGTGACATACGGCAGGTAATGCAGTACATTTACAGCAGAGCCTTGAAAGAAGGAAGAGGTAGATTGAATACTTAGAGCAATAAAGCTTTTTGCTTTGATCTCCACGAGACAAGCTAATATCACTTCCCACGTCTTCCTTGAGGAATCTACAAATACGATGTGCTCAAAGCAGTGGCGGTATAGAAAGCAAATGAAGAGTGTTCTGTGAGAACACCAAGCAAATCAAGTGTGGTGAGGAGGGAATTAGAGAAGAAGTGTGGTCAGAAGCAGCTCTCCTGGTGGCATGGAGGTGCAACTATAGCCTCCTGGCAGAATAGCACTGCCCCTCACACGTGGAAGGACAAGGTGGCAGTCAGGTTTGGTCTGAATGGATGCATTAGCAGGGATTTCCGTTGGCGCACCCACACAGTGACAAGCATTGTCACTGCCTCACCCCAGGAAGGGTAGACAGGAAGGTACTGTTGTGGCTCTACCCCAACAGGTGAGATGCTCCTGAGATGCTCCTGAGTGGAGTACTATTAAGATGAGAGCACACAGACACCAGAGGCAGATGAAGACTGCACCATGGATCAGTGGTTCTCAAACTTTTTTCTCTGGGCCACACTTTCAGAATGAAAAATGGCTCATGCCACACCAAATTTTGTTATTGATATGAAATACATTGGAAAACTATAAAAAAAAACTTCTCCTAGCGCTTGATTTATAAAACAGAACACTACCTTTACCTTATATACTTAAGGTACATATGTAAGAGGCTCATTTATTATTATATTTTGGGAATGAGTCATGTTCTTATGTAGTTGCATTGCTTTATACTTTTTGGATATCCCATGAACATATTATAAAATAGTTGTGTTCTGTGTTATAAATCAAGCACTGCTACAAGTTCTTTTTTTCAAAAAAAAAGTTTTCCAATATATTTCACATTAATAACAAAATTGACAGTGAACAACCTGGACGGTTAAGTTACCTTTTAGGTTACCTTTTACCTTAAGTACATTTACAAACTCAATGAGAAGTGTGAGCTTGTAGTATCACATGATGCTCTTGCTTTCATTTTGAAAAGATATCTATCCATATTCTGCAGATAAAAGAGAATGTTTTGATACTATATTATAGTATCTATACTATACTACACTGAAATGTTTAAATGTTTCTCTGATTGTCCTTGACTCTTCACGTCACACTTGCCATCCTCTCCTGTCACACCACTGTGGTGCGCCGCACCTCTTCAGTTCTCAACCCAACCCAGATCTTGTGATGGAGAAAGACAGGACCTCTGCCAGCAAATGCAACATAAGAATGAAATAGACTGAGAAAGATGATGCTATGGTAGCTCATATGCTTAATAGTTTGCCTTAGTGCCCATGTATATGATGTTTATATTATTATTGTGTAGCTAATAAAATCTGTAACTTTACCCCAAAGCATGCTTGTTGCCTCAGATTCCAAAAGAACAATAGCATAACAGGCATTATTGCCATCTCAATGTGGCGATCTTTAGGGTAGATGTTGATCCCGACAACAAAGCACCAGTGAAGTGAACTGTTAGCATTTGCCAACATAACAGCCATAGTGAGACAACATGATGGCACAGGGACAAAATGAAAGCACCATGGCAACATAAATGTGTAGACATCATTAGCGTCTGTTTATACAGGGAGCAGAGATTCTATCTACTGTCTGAAGTGTTACAATCCCTGAAGAAGTCCCAATTTACTTGTTGGATGTGCAGACCAACCATTAGTGCAGTATGATCTGAATCAAATTCAGTGAATGGAAACAGGAAATGTAGGGGCATTTATTCTGAGTATACTGCAGTTCTTCTTGTTGTTGTTTAGTCATTTAGTCATGTCCGACTCTTCGTGATCGCATGGACCAGAGCACGCCAGGCACTTCTGTCTTCCACTGCCTCCCGCAGTTTGGTCAAACTCATGCTGGTAGCTTCGAGAACATTGTCCAACCGTCTCGTCCTCTGTCATCCCCTTCTCCTTGTGCCCTCCATCTTTCCCAACATCAGGGCCTTTTCCAGGGAGTCTTCTCTTCTCATGAGGTGGCCAAAGTATTGGAGCCTCAGCTTCACAATCTGTCCTTCCAGTGAGCACTCAGGGCTGATTTCCTTAAGAATGGAGAGGTTTGATCTTCTTGCAGTCCATGGGACTCTCAAGAATCTCCTCCAGCACCATAATTCAAAAGCATCAATTCTTCGGCGATCAGCCTTCTTGATGGTCCAGCTCTCACTTCCATACATCACTACTGGGAAAACCATGGCTTTAACTATACGGACCTTTGTTGACAAGGTGATGTCTCTGCTTTTTAAGACGCTGTCTAGGTTTGCCATCGCCTTTCTTCCAAGGAGCAGGCGTCTTTTAATTTCGTGACTGCTGTCACCATCTGCAGTGATCATGGAGCCCCAAAAAGTAAAATCTCTCACTGCCTCCATTTCTTCCCCTTCTATTTGCCAGGAGGTGATGGGACCAGTGGCCATGATCTTCGTTTTTTTGATGTTGAGCTTCAGACCATATTTTGCGCTCTCCTCTTTCACCCTCATTAAAAGGTTCTTTAATTCCTCCTCACTTTCTGCCATCAAGGTTGTGTCATCTGCATATCTGAGGTTGTTGATATTTCTTCCGGCGATCTTAATTCCGGCTTGGGATTCATCCAGCCCAGCCTTTCGCATGATGATTTCTGCATATAAGTTAAATAAGCAGGGAGACAATATACAGCCTTGTCGTACTCCTTTCCCAATTTTGAACCAATCAGTTGTTCCATATTCAGTTCTAACTGTAGCTTCTTGTCCCACATAGAGATTTCTCAGGAGACAGATGAGGTGATCAGGCACTCCCATTTCTTTAAGAATTTGCCATAGTTTGCTGTGGTCGACACAAGCAAAGGCTTTTGCATAGTCAATCAAGCAGAAGTAGATGTCTTTCTGGAACTCTCTAGCTTTCTCCATAATCCAGCACATGTTTGCAATTTGGTCTCTGGTTCCTCTGCCTCTTCTAAATCCAGCTTGCACTGCAGTTCTACATCAGTGTTATTTCAATTGATTACTGGATCAACACGAGTCCAGTTAATTACTAGCTCAATAAGACTATTGTCATTGCTTATAGTAAATGCTTTATTTGCCTCCTCTGAATTAAATGAACATTTCATATATTGTGTTACTATTGCCCTTCATATGTGGTAGAGTACAATTTTAATCAACACATACATATAACCTAAATTTATATTAAGCATGCAGAAGAACCTAGGAGCTTGAAATTTGCAATTCTAGGACAGTATCCCATTCTAATTCTCCACGGGAAACCACTTTTGAAAGAGAGGAAAGCTTCAAAAGCAATTTGTGCAAGAGCATAGTGGTTTGCTGTGCAGAAGACAATATGTAAAATGCTGTATGTGGCTTATAAAACCCTCGGAGGAGAACCCAGAAAATGGCCTGCAAAGGAAGGACTATTGCTCAGTGGTAGAGGACATACTTTGTATGAAATAGGTCCTAGGTTCAGTCATGGCATCTCTAGTAAGAAGGAGCAGATAACAGATGATGTGAGCGACTTCTGCCAGAGACTCTGGAGCAACAGAGTAGATAATACTCATCTAGACTGGCATAAGACAGATTTCTATGTGCCTTGTTTTTTTATAAGGAGCATATATTGTCTAGCTCTTTGGACACCAGCCATTGAATAGAACTATCTGTTGGAACATGTCAAAGAGCCCATCTGAAGGCTTGTTGAGTTGGGAAGTGAAAGAAGCCTTCCTTTCCCAGTCTCATCACATCTGCAATATGTAATCCACCAGGACTACACAGGACTAATCCACACAGACTTATTCTGTATTCAGCTAATGTAGAAGAGATGTCAGTGGAGGAGCCAAAGACTCTTTGATAAATATTTTCCTGTTGTGGACAGGATGTTGCCTAGTTTTCAGCCTGGGAATGCTTTGGCATGCAGCACATTTGAAGTTTTGTAGCAGCAATGGCTGTGTTCAGTTTCTTATCAGTTACATCTGACATGTCTGCTATTGCTCCACCCAACCAATTCTATGGCAGCTACATTAGCTACCAGTGAGCTTCCACAGATGCAATTCAAAGTTAGACATAAATGCCCTAATAGAAGGGCTTCACCTCCAGACGACAGAGCCCAGTATTGTTTGTCAATCTGGGCTTTGTCATCTGGTGGTGAAACCCTTCTTGTGGTCAAACCAATGATTATGATCTGTTGTGCAGTGATTCAGGTTAGGGCCTTCCATGTAGTAAAACCGTCTTAGAGGAACTCCTTCCCTTTAGCAGTACAATTGTTTCTTGCACTGTTTATTTTTGTGCCAGCTTAAAACATTCATTTTTAACAAATGTATTACAGAACATCTGGAGTTCTGATTATTCGTATTTATGGAGGTCACTTGACCTTGACAAAACCCACTGTATACATTTGTCTCCTTAAGTTAGTTTGTTTCTGAATTATTCTCAAAAGAGTTATGAAACAGTTACTACAATTATTCATACAACTTCATTAATTGCTTCTAGTTTAAATGGATTGTCCCTGATTCAGAATTTATAGCATATCAATACAATGCAATCCTTGTGTAAGCTTACTTGAGCATAAACCTTGTTAAACACAATGGAATTTAATTCTAAGTAAACAACATAGCATGGTGTGTTGTGCCATCTAAGTTTAAGAAAACCAAAGCACTAAATCATATGGTCCAAATATTAGTCACTATAAAGTGTCATTTTCACATAACTGTATGTAATTTAAAATGAGTTTAACATCCAAACCATTCATTCATTTCCCCCCATCCATTCCAGAATTTCACAGGAAAGAGAACGACAAGGGAGCTGACATTAATAGTTCTGTAAAATCTCATTTAGTTCTTGAAAACTTCTATTTTTAACAGTTCAGTCCAGAAAAGGAAACCAGAATGGAGAAGGAGGCACTCATACATGGAATGAATGCACTAGCTGGGTATGCCAGTATCCAGCAATCTGAACTGCATATACATACATGCCCTGATGCTAAATTTTCAACTGCCTCTGTAGCAGCAGGTCAGATGTGAATGTACATGAAATGAATCCATAAGGTTCTATTAAAAATGAAGAAAAATGCATTTTTATATGCAAGAATTAAGCAATGGCTTCAGACTTCCCCTTTCATGTCGTACAGAGCTTTCTCAATGAAGAACAGCACGGCGAATGTATAGTCTGCCATTTTAACATTCAGCAGCAATCATTAGTGAATGACTGGCAGAGGCATACTACAGTTGTGCTGCAAAGAGTGGAGATTTGGGAAGGCTTAGTAATAGCATATGTATATTCATTAGAGGGAGAAAAAACTAATTTAGTTTACCAGGAGGAGGGTAATCACCTTGGTATGCAGATTTTTGCAAAATCTTTTCGTTACAGATTAAGCTCATCTATATTTAGCAAGGTTGATAGACTCATCAAGCTTACGCTTAGGGGAAACATATTTAAGGGAGGGAGGGAGAGAGAATGTTGCTTTCCTGATCAATGGAGTACACAAATCCAAAAGGATGCTTTATTCAACATCCACTACGCAGGCCTATCCTTGTTGGACTAAGTCCCTGGTACACAAACTTGCCTGATAGATGTGCTTGGATATATTTGGAATTTGACTGGAGAGGAGAGCACATGATGTAGCCACTCCCTAAAAGTGTTCATTACCCTCATAGTGGAATGACTATCATTTAGGATTGTGCATAGCATTGTGGAAGAATTGTACCTGCAGCCTCTTTGCAGACTAAATTATAATAATAAGTAGTTTGAGGTTGTGTGTGTGTATATGTGTGTGATGAACAAAACGAAAGCCAGAAAAAAAAGTTGAATAAGAATCCTTACTTATCGATGACAGAAAGAAAAGAAAAGAAAACGAAAACCCAGAAAGGCTAGAACATAGACTTGGTATTGAATTGTGGTCATTGTGGCCAATAACTCTTAGTCATATTCAGTGTGTATATAATGAACACACAAGGGAGAAATGGGATTATAGAGGCAGGGCTTTCTCCACATCTTTTAGCCCACAGTCTGCCCAGACCCTCTATAAGATAGGCATACAGACTGAAATGTAGGCTCTGTGGAAAAAAGGATCTGTGCAGACAGTAGACTAAATGCATGTATCTTTTTTTGCAGTAAGTAGGTTGCACCACTGTTCCTCTTCCCTTTCCTACACTGTTTATGCATAAGGATGCTATAAGTCATAAACAAAGATCTTCAGAATAATGTAATTTTATAAGGGAGAACTGAAAAGGGGTGGGATCTGGTATAAGCTGCTATCCTTCAGGCATCACATTTTTTTGAAGTGACAGGTGAAGTGTTGGATATCATACGATAAAATCATGCTTCTCCTGGACTTACATTCAGATTCTTTACTACAAAGGTGTATATACACAGCCTCCTTTAAGAAAAGGCTAAATTTACAACCTGTCTGCATAAAGGTGATGTGGCCAGGGTGGGTGGGAAAACTGTCTTAACTCCATTTTTTTTTTGTTTTTGTTTTAATGTTCCTAATGGATATAGCGTTCCAAAGGTAAGCTAGGCAATAAATCAGTCTATTTGCACTTTCATCACTTTTGGTTTTAGCCAACATTTTAAAAAAGAAATATGGGAAAATTAAATATTTGAAGTCTCTTTGCTTTCATAACATCTGAAACATTTCCAGTAAAACTGCATTTGTAGAAGAGCTTTAACTCTGTCCATGTCTGTTAATGGGAAAGGGAAACATAAAAAGGAGAAAACAGTTTATACCGCAGCATGTCAGCCATGACTTGCATCATGTGGCTAGTGAGAGCTGCTAACTCCTATTGATTTTGAGCCACTCCGCAGCCTTTCAGACCTAAATAATTGTTGTCATCAAGTCTAAATCAGTGCTTTTGGAAAGCCCATTAGGGGAGCCTTTAAAGAGTCATGCAAGCTGATTGTATTAAAATAATAGCTGTAGAAAGGCAGTAAGCTAACAGGTGATGTGAAGTAGCGGCCCTGTCAAAGGGGAAATTGCCACCTATCCTTCCAGGGCAAAGACTAAAATCTATACCTCCTGTACATTTGTGTTTCTGTTGTTGTCAACTTCAGTTTACTTCACATGGAAACAAATGGATTTTGTAAAAAAAAAAAAAAAAAAGTCTGAAAGTATGGTAGCTTAGGAGATCAAAGCTGAAATAAACAAATAAAGGAGCAGCAGGGTTTGAAAACTGATATTTTCCCCCTGGGTTGTTAACTTCACATTCCTTGACATTGTTTAAGTAGACCCTAGGAACAATCTCTCTCTCTCTCTCTCTCTCTCTCTCTCTCTCTCTCTCCCTCTCACACAAAAACACACACATAATAAAGTCAGTCTGATTTATCTAATTACATGTTACCTGTATATACATAATCTTGGGTTTCAGAGCATGTGTAGGGTTCCTTGCAGAATGAATTCAAAAAGGGAGCACCTTTCCTTATCTGGATAGATGGTTTGATGAGACAAAGAGTAAAGTCTTGCATTTCTATGGGAATTTTAAAGCAGTTAAGGCTCCCCTTTTAAGGCTATTCTTCTATTCACTGGGAATTGTGCTGGAAATAGTGAATCCAAAATATATTCAGAGGGTATATTCATTTCTTTACCAACTCTCCTGTTACATTTTTAAGAGATAGCCATTTCTGAGCAATTAGCATAGTGAAAAAAGGACTAAATTAACATATACAGAAACAAAACATTGGATAGCTGTCTATTCAGGATTCACTGTGAGGGTGCAAAATCCTGGATACTTTAGGTGGCACTGCTGAACTACATCATAATATAGGTGTTTATCACAGTGTAAAACTTCAGAGAGAAGTTTGAAGACATCCATATGAGCAAGAAAACATTAAAGATAAAAAGTGACAGTCTTTTACAATGCTTGTATGCATAATCTAATACTGCAGAATAAACCACTAATACATTCTTCCCAAGTAAAGGTTAAGAGCACTTCATGAGCATTGGAATAAGATAATAAATAAAATCTAAACTTGATAATATATTGTTTTCTGCCTCATTTAACTTTCACGGCTTCGATTGTGAATGTCTAGAACTTCTTAAACAGTCATCATGATTATTACTAAAGGATGTTTTAATATTTGTTCATTAGACCTAACCCATTCATCAATTTCCAAGGGGAACATGTAGACCATCTGAAAAAGTGTGCGCTAGTCAAACATAAGGGTAAAATAAAAAATCAATCTTATACCATCATTGGAGCACCAAGGCAAAAAAATGCCAGAGTTTTCTTGTTCTCATGTGCTTCTTTTACATAGTTTTGGCTTCATATGGTTTAAATATACCCAATCTATACACTTTACCACCACACCACTTTTTTTAATTCCTCAGGTGCTTCCTATAGTCTTTGTGATCTTTGTTTGGTTGAATACAAGGACTCAAAGGGAAATCCACACCACCAAGGAGCTCTATTGTCGTTCAAGAAGACACTGGAGTGGCAAGGTTAAATACTGCCAGTCTCTCTATCAAAAACCTCAGTCACTCACTTTTCTCTGCTTAGTACAACCGGATGCCCTCAACTGCCCGAATTGCTCCTCCTCCACATCTCTGTTCTCTTTCAACACGGTGACACCTTCCATGGAGAGCTAACCTGTATCCCTTTAAGCAATTCTATACTAAGCAGAATAGCTTTTGAGCTGGACCTTTGGCAAAATGTGAACTGTCAATCTGATCTGGTGTGTGATCACTGCGTCCCCCTTTCATCTTGTCTAGCAAACTTGCCTTCAAAAAAATACAACTTGGTGGTAGGGTATGACATTTCATTCTTAGAGGTCATCAATATTTCCTGGTCCACTGCAGGTTTCAAAGTCTTTCCCTCTCAATTTATTCTTTTAAAGGACTTCATGAAATGCTTTTATACAAGTAAAGTTCAAAATGACCTCTGTCATTCTTAAGTACATCTTGACTCCGTTGGCGTATTGAATTCCAGATACGACTATGACTTTAAAACAAAACAAAACCCAACAACTGTGGTGGCCCTTTGCCATTCTTATCTTGCCGCACAATCTAGTAAGAGTACAAATGCTTGCAGCCCACAATTTCAAGGGCTTTCCCATCTGTCTTCAGTTATTTCATGGGTTAGCTAATGTGATGTTGATGGACTTTGCCCATTATTAGTAGAATGGTGGTCTTCTGTGTTGCTGTGGTTGATTCCTTTGTGATTGCCGGTGATTTGGTTTTCAGTGGATCCGAAGACGTGTCTCAGGGAAGTCCGATAACCTTTTGCAATCCTAAACACTTTGTGAGGATGTGTGCATGGGATGGGATGTAGAATGTGCTAAGTGGCATTATGGTTTCAGATCTATTACCGTACAATGTTGTGATTGGTGGATACAATATTGTGAGCATGGATCACTGTGGTCAGGCTATCCCTATCTAAGAAAGTCTACAAACAAGCCAAAACTTGTTTTATCACAAGAAAACAACCTTGATACTTGTAAATTAGATAAAAGTAAGTAGCAGTGATATTAGTCCTCTCTAGAACTACATCACAGAAATAATATCATCACAGACCAATGCCTGAAGAAAACTTTGTATTGTTCTTTATTTATTTACACAGTTGATATAGCATTTAATACTTTAAAGGTATGTTTCTTAGAAATATAATAAAGATAACATTAGTTAAAACTGACTGATAAAATCAGAAACTCAAAATGGCTGCTGAAATTGAAAGGTCTTTGCTAGGCTCTGGACATTCAATAGGGAGGGGGCCTGTCTGAGTCCACTTGAGAATGTGTTCCACATAATTGGACAAACCATACTGAATGGATCACTCCTGGTGGATATGAGACATGTAACTGAGCCATGGACGACCTCTAACAGTAAGTTCCCTGAAGATAACAGTGATAAGGCAGGGATATAAGGCATCAGATGGTCACTAAGCTATCCTGGACTCAAGATTTTAAGAGGCCTGTAAGTTAATACGCAGATAGCACATGGACAGCTAGTGCAAACTTCTCAGCACTTTCATTATGTGCTATTAAAAATGTAGTATAATGTAGATCATTCGGGATAACTGCAGGGCATAAACTTTCTGTACCTGTATTACAGTTCTAACATTTGCTTTCTGAAGAGTATATATACATACACTGACCCATCCACATAACAAATATACATTAAATGTGCATTGAAAAACATGGATGTTACAAGAATGGGTAAATCTGCAAATTGACTGAGCAGTGTCTGATTCGGAGATTATCTGGGAGCCAGATGTAAGACCGTCTAATCTCCTTAGGCGACCAGCAGCTGGTCATGTATAAAATAAATAAATAAATAAATAAATAAAGTACCTGTATTCTTAGAGTTTGCAATAACAACTGCAATTTCCAATAGATATGCCCAAGAGAACCATGAAGGATCACTCCTGGAATGTAGTAGTTCTGACACTTATAGTTTCAGAAAACAACATTCTGCTACAAGATTCCAAGCACACACTGCTAACATCTGGGAGAAAGTACCATTTTCCCTATGAGTTTTGCTGTTGATGATCTTTTTGTGTGCATCCCATCCATAAACAGAGAACACAGAGTCATCAAATGTGTGGGCAAATAGTAAAAACTGATTGTTAAATTATAGTCTGCTGATTAACTTTGAACCAAGAGGCCAATTATTAATTATTGTAACATATTTTTAGATGCTCTTTCTGACCTTGGAATACATTCTGCTCCTGTGAACAGATGAATAAACAAAAACTTGACTTATTCTACAAGGATGTCGAAGGAAATTAAAGCATGTTCAAGGTCATAGAGACCCTTCTATGGAGCCTTGCATTTATTTCTCAATAAATATTTGTAAAGAAATAAAGTGGCAAAAAGAGTATTGGAACAAGCAATCCTCATA